CGAAAATTGTTTTCTCGCCGTGCGCGTACATGAATATCTAATGTATTTACTGATTCATCAGGAATACATATTCTTTTATTCGATTCGAATCATTCTCAATCACACAAACAAATAAACATCATTAATTTCTCATCTATTCGATTACAAATTTTTGTACTCGACTATCGATCGGATCGACAACATACAGATTACCATGTCGATCAAATGATAATCCCTCAGAGAGATTAACTTGATTGGCTTGTGTTCCATGATTGTTTCCACCAGCAATGACACTCCCTCGTGCAGCTCCTTTTTGATCAACGTATTATTCAATCATTTCCCCAATCAGCCATATAAACAGTGCCCAATTGATCGATAACTACTCCTTGAGGATGACTCAAATGTGAAAGACTATTTCCTCAGAGCTGTCGCGAGATGTTAAAGAATGGGAGGGGGGGGGTCGAAAAATTTTTCGAAAATTTCTTGAAGATTTTTGAAAAAAATTGAGCAAAAAAAAACAAAATTTCAAAAAATTGGGAGTAGCCCCCCGCGTCCCCCCGCTCGCGACAGCTCTGTATTTCCTTGCCCTAGACTACTGGCTACGACAATGCCTTGTTTTGCAGCTGCTTCCCATTTCATCACACGATGATTACGCATATCCAACACCTACACTGAATGGACCCGATCAATAAATACGCATTCAGGATTAGAAAGTTGATCCAACCGAGTTCCATTTTCATTACCACCTGCAACTACTGTTCCTATGGTATCACCAATTCTATATTGTCGCACTTCATGTTCTTGAGAGTCAACAAAATAGAGATATCCATTTCCATCCATTGCTAAACCAGCACAAGTGATGTTCGAAATAAGTGTTTCTTTTTCAAAATCCCCATTTCGACGAGGCCAACGAACTACTCTTCTATTCATTTTATCGCAGATGATAAGTTTATTACTGTTTTTGTCAACAATTACATCGAATGGAAAGAATGGATAGGCTAACTGATAACCTCCATAACCATCATCAATCAATCATTTGCCCACTCGTTGCATCACGTTTCCATTCCGCAATACGATAATTATTGTAGTCAGCAACATAAATAGTTTCATCGTCATTCACATATAAACCATTTGAGTGAGAAGGTTGATTGTTTTCACTATCGTATCCATTTCCTCCAGCTACAGTGAGATCATGCTGTATACATCTTGCATTCGGATGAATGTCAATAGTTGGTGCTTGCAGTGATATTGAAAGTGGAGAAGAATGAATGCCATAAGAGTATGAGATGCCTAACTCGACTTATAATATAAATGCACCTTCAGAAGTTTTCATATATGTAAAACTTGAAATTTGAATTCAACTATTCAACTATTCAACTATATGCAATACTTAAGGGAGCCGGGACGAAACTCTTTGAGAGTATGGCAAAACCCCACAGGGGCAGGTGAGGATAGGAGCAAAAACCCTTTGATGGAAAGGGCAAAACCTCACAAGAGCAGGTGAGGGTGAGGCCAAAAACCCTTTAAGGGCCTTGAAAAGTTGAATAGTTGAATTTTTGAATGATTGAAAACCTTAATAATTGAATAGTTGAGTACTTGAAGTGATAGTTGAATAGGTGAATTCAACTTTCAAGTTTGACACTACTGGAAAATAATTATTTATTGATAACAATGAATTATATTTATATTAATATTACAAAACAATCTTAAATAAAGAATATTTTCATCATTAATTTTGACAAAACTATCTCACGGGATTTAAACTGTCAGTCAGTTGCAGTTATTGGTAGTTTTGATTGGTTAACTCTGGAAAATAATAAACAAATAAAATGGTAAAGTGTATATTTCAAAAAAATGAATAACATTCTTAGAGAATAAATATTATTTTAAAAATAAGATAAGTCACTATGGACTTTTATTATATTTTGAACATTATACTTTATAATTTAAAAAAACTGGAAATCATATTGACATCATTGAAGTCCGAGATACTATTTGACATCAATGAATCTGTTTCTTTTGTTGTTAAAGCTATAAAAAATGTGTCTTTTTAAAGAGTTCAAAACAGATCGATGAGTGCATTATCGTAATGTTTTCATGATAGCTTTTTCTAGAAACAAATGTTCAAAAATAAAATTTCACCGCGGATATAAGATTTATTGTCTTAACTTCACAGACAAATAAAAATATTTTATTCGCTACGAGAAAATTTTCAGAAATGTGAATCTTTTGAATGAGTGCATTGCCACATATTTCTATCCTTGTAGTTTAGTGAAGCTAGAACTTCCATATGTATTGGTATAGTATTAGTTCTGTCTCTTTGTTACTTTATTTTAATGAGTTATATCAACTTAAAGGCTAAAAATAGCTGAGTGAGTTAACTGTGGATAGGCTGTCTTTTAAACGCTTTTCTAAAAAACAATATGTGCTGTCTGTCAATCTCACAGATCTAATAGTTGTAACAACAGCGAAATGATGTTTAAATATGAGAAAAAATACTTTTTGTATTATAAGTTAACACTTTAAATCCACGGTGTCTCTCGTATATGGTAGCAAAAAGTGAATACAATATTCACTCATCATCATCAGTATCATCATCAGTATCTTGTTTCTGATCATAAATAGGAATACAATCTGGAGACGTTGGACATGATTGACAATTTCCACCATATTCACGTGGTAGTTGATCAGAATTAATATATTGTAATAACACTGGTGATGTATCAGATCCTTTTTTAAACAATGTCTCTGTATCGATGACAACTATTATGCTGAACGTTTAGGACATTTATTTATTATAAATCCACCAAAAATTTTTCCTGCCCNCTTTTTTAATGACAATAATTTTTGATTTCGTAACTGGATCAATGACATGTTTTAGTAAATTCCAAAGGGCAGGAAAAATTTTTGGTGGATTTATAATAAATAAATGTCCTAAACGTTCAGCATAATAGTTGTCATCGATACAGAGACATTGTTTAAAAAAGGGAATTAATTTTCTTGTCTTCATTTTCATTCCCTTTAAATCATGAATCATAGCAAAAGTTTCTACATGTTTACCCAATTGTCGACTACGTTCTCGAGTTCGTTCACAATTAAATTCAAGCCAATATATATGACATTGCATCAATTCCTCTGTTGTATATTCATTCAGGACCTGATTTACATGCATTTGACCCGTTTTTTCAATATATAATGGTTGATGAGCTTTCGTATAACCATGATGAGCATTTGGAATAATTCTTCGAATAAGATCCACTCGATGTATTATGGATTGATCTTCTAGAATTGAATCAACATGATTATCTATTCTCCATTGTATCATTTCTGAAACGGATTTAATAGTATGTTTAACATTCCATTTT